TAGTAAAGTGAAATTACCCTCTCTTTTTTTCAATTTTAAGATTTTATTTTGTTTTTTTTATGTCTTTAATATTTATTTTTAAAATGAATGAATTCTTAATAATTTGTTGACTAAATTACCCCTCTACAACTAAAAGATCTTAGCAAAAATTAACAAAAGTTGAGGATTGTCCTTGAATTGAATCAAATTGAAACTACATAGACAAAATAGATCAAATTAACAGGAATCAAAGTGATAAAAGTGGCAAACTAGGAGAATCAAAAGTGACTTTTTGCTATTAAAAAAAAAAAAAAAGTACTCTATACAATACTCACTTGAAAAAAGTCTGAGTTAGAATTGATACACCCCTAGGGTTGGGTCATTCTCTCCTCCATTTCGAGTCGCTCCTCTCCTTCTTCCATCTCGATTACAGCGGCTCCTCCTCTCCAGCGGACAATTTCCGGCGGCTGCATCTCCTCTCTTCTCCTCTTCTCCAACGGGTAAGCCTCCTTCTCCTGTCTTCTATCTCCTTAAATCTCTCTCTCTCTCTCTCTCTCTCTCTCTCTCTCTCTTAATTCGATTTTCTTCGAAATTTTGTCAGTCTCAGTGCCGTGTCTCAGTCCTCTCCAACGGGACAATTTCCGGCGGCAGATCTTCTCTCCTCTCCGACGGGTAAGCCTCCTTCTTCTCCTTCTTCTATCTCCTTAAATCTCTTTTTCTTAACTCGATTTTCTGTTATCTCTTTAACTAATTCTTGTAGTTCTCTATGATAGGAGAGGGCCGAATTGTAGTAATTTTTTCTTTCGTCATTCGAAAAACATAATTTTGTCTAAGTTTGAATCCAGAGTTCATGCTTTTTGCCTTCATCCATATGAAAAGTGTTTTTGAATAGTCTATTGCCTAGAAATTATTTTAATGTCTTTTCCTCATATTGCATATATTGCCTTTAAAGATGTAAATGTAAAACCAAGTCTTTTCCTCATATTGCATATATTGCCGTTAAATATGTAAAACCATGTTTGCTACGAGTCGGAACCCAAAGTCTGCAAAACATTCAGGTAAAATCGGCGTTAATTTCTGTGCTTCTCTATGCTTTTGGTTTTCCATTCTAGGTTTTAGGGCATTCTCATGATCTAATTTCTCAACACCACCGTCTTTTTCTTTAACCACACTGATTTTTTGATCTTCAATTCGTCATCTTCTATTTGTTTTTTTCGTTTTATTTTCTGGTCATGAATTAAGCATTGGCATCTTTATTTGTTGTTTGGTGGGTGCGTAAAGAACAGAAGGAAAATAATGGAAAAGAAGAACACTTTTTCTTCATTGCAATTTGTTGAACTAGGGTTTTCTTAGTTGAAAAAGCAGCCGATCACTGTTGTCGAGTTTGGGTTTTGGGGAGGGATTGAAACACTGAACAGGGTGATGCAGTTTCTCAGCAACCCATCACTGTCTTAGTTGAAATCAATGAATTAATGCATTCTGGGGTTTTTTTTTTGTAGGGATTTGAGGAGAGATTAGCAATGCTCAAGGGCTCCAAGGGCAAGTGTGAGTCTCCATCTCACAAGCTCTTGAAGGAAAAAACAAAGACTCGATTGGAAGACCTTCAAGGGATGCTCACCAATGTTCAGGCTGCCAAGAAAGAGAGTGGAACTGATGACATTGTAATCTTGGTGGAACAAGCGAATCAGATGGTTCGGGAGTGGAGGGCCGAACTCAATGAGCCATCCCCAGCATCTTCTCTACTGGTGCGTTTCCTAATTTGGTGGCCGCACCAATTTTCCGCTTTCTATTCTGTATTCTGTATCTTTTGTGTGAACTAGTGTTAGGTAGATATATAAAATTTTATATGTGAATTCTGTAGGGTGGTAGCCTTGGATCATTTTGCGAGGAGGAGTTAGCTCGGGTCTTGAAACACTTAGATGAGGAAGATGATGCAACAAGTCCATTAAAGCAATTGCCACCATCTATGCCAGAATCCGATCTTCTAAACCTTCATTCGAGTAATATGTTGGCATTTAAAGAGGTGTATATTTTTCCCTGTTGTTAATATTATGTGTATATGACTGTTGTGCTGTATCAGCTAACTTTTCATTTGAAGTTCTTCTTTATGTGTTGTCATTTGGTCAACATAGTTTTCCCATTCTGTTTTGGAATGATTGTAAGGAAAAGATATTTTCAGCTAAATTTGACACTATATATTTCTTTGACTTATGAAGATAAATGATTACATGTCATACACCTTTCCCGACAACCAAATAGATTGAGATTTCTTCCTTCTTTCTTGGATTGTAATTGTTGATTGTCATCCTTTTTTATAACATCTTTTGCACTTCATGCTTTTGGTTTTGTTGGAGTGCCCAGAATTTGATTTTTTTTAAAGTTTTGCTCTTATTCATTGATTTGTCAGTATCATTTTATTTTATTTAATAAATTAAATTTGGTAAAGCTAATGGTCCTTTCTGTTTTCATATAAATTCTGAGAGGTAGCTTATTTAACACCCCTATATTTTAGATGGCGGATACTTGATTAAACTTTCCATTAGTTACAGTACAGCTTGATTCCTATCTACAGATATATTTTTTTGTTCTTTTTCTTTTTCATTAATTGACTTTGCAATTGTCTTATTCAAATCAATTTAGTAATAACTAAAAATCCTTTATTTTTAATGTTCGTATATTCTAAGAGGTGAATAATGCTCTAATGCAAGTGACCTGTAGTTTACTGAAGAAGTACATTTGTAATATTCAGGATATTTTGTGCAAGTTTCCTTTTTTTTTTTTAAGTCGAATGTGATACTTCCCATATTGGTTGCTTTGGCATCTAATTAATTATGAATGCTAGTAGTTCACCCAAAGTATGTGGCCGTGGAAAAGAAGATAAAAACCATGAATAACTTGAGCATATGATTTACTTTAGTATGATCGCAGAATGTAAGGGTAGGTATACTTGCGTCATGATTGATTATTCACGATCTCCCTGTGTGCCCAACTTTTCAGGAATTTTTTGTTTCTAAGGAACCTGAAGAAGATATATTTCAAGGATTTGACCAATGCTACACTGCTTCCAATTTGCAGAATACAATGATTGATAACTCAGATTTAACTACTCAATTAAAATATCATCACTTTGATTTTCATGGAGACTTAGATGAAGGGCTTTTCATTGAGGGCAACAATATCACGCAGTCTGAAGAGGATGTTGTGCCAAATGTTCTGCCAGATATATGTCCTCCAGTATCTGCTTTCTTGGGGCCAAAATGTGCTTTTTGGGAGTGTTCAAGGCCTGCATCAAATAGGTGCCAGAACTATTGCAGTAGTGGTCATGCTCTTTTGGCACTAAATGAAGGTCTTCTTGGAAGGCCTCCAATTTTGCGACCTGGAGGCATTGCTTTGAAGGATGGTTCACTTTTAGCCGCACTTAATGCTAAGACACAGGGGAAGGATGTGGGAATCCCCAATTGTGAAGGGGCTGCTACTCTAAAATGTCCATGGAATGCTCCTGGTTAGCCAGCATACTCTTTTTTTTCTTTCTCAATATTGTATTTTCCTTTTTGGTTTAGCTTGTTTGTTATCCACCATGAACATTTACAGCATCTCTCACTACTATCAACCTATTTATATTTTCTGTTTGGTTTCTTTTTCCTGTTGGCAGCCATTCTTTGGTTCATTATGATGTAGCTTGTTATCTTCTAATTTTTGACTGATTCGCTTTCAATATTGCAGAGCTATTTGATCTTTCCTTTCTTGATGGTGAAACAATTAGGGAGTGGCTTTTTTTCGGTAAGCCTAGAAGGGCCTTTGAGAGTGGAAATAGAAAGCAGAGGTCATTGCCAGACTATAACGGGCGTGGTTGGCATGAATCAAGAAAGCAGGTTATGAAGGAATTTGGGGGGCAGAAAAGGTCCTATTATATGGACCCACAGCCTTCAAGCGATAGAGAGTGGCATTTGTTTGAATATGAGGTCAACAACTCAGATGCCTGTGCACTATATAGGTTGGAGCTCAAGTTTGGCAGTGCAAAGAAAAGTCCCAAAGGAAAAGTATCAAGTGATCCGCTTGCTGATCTGCAGAAGAAGATGGGAAGGCTCACTGCTGAGGTTCCTACAGATGATGCAAGCAATGTTAAGGGGAAAGCTAGCACAAAGGCTGATGCTGGAAATGTTTTTTCTTCTCATAATCAGACAACGTCAACTACCTAAACCCTGATGTTTTGGAAATGTACATTTTGCTGAAATTCAAATTACTACATTCACCAAAACCTCTAGTGTTGTGGTTCATACAATCATATCGCCACAAATATGACCGACTATTATGGTACTTAGTTGGGAAAACTTGCCTGCATGTAAGAAGAATCTAACATTCTAGTTTGTCAAGTTTCCGCTGTGTATTGACGTATTGTTTGTGTTATTCTACCTTTTTGGGGTGGAGTGGACCTAGTGTCTTGATGCTGTCAAGTTCTCCTGCGTTATGCTAGATGGTTGCAAACTGCCTCAACTTCCAACTTCTGAAAGATCTTAACCATTGGGGTAAGGTCGACAATGATGCGAATAATTTATTGTAGTAAAGTGTACAGCCTGCTAAAATTACAGTAAATTTGTGATAATGTACATAATTGCTATTTCCTTCTGTGTTTAATGTTGGTATTGTGAGTTTTTAGTTTTTATTTATTCGTTTATTTTTTTTAAAAAATTTCTGTAATTTTCCGGGAGACGAGAACTTATGTTAGCCACTTTGAATACAAATGAGTAGCATAAGAAAAGATCTTTAGGATAACTCCCTATATTTTAAAGCATGTTAAAGGAAGAAATGAAAATGAAGGTAAAGGCCCACAAAAATAAAAAAAATAAAAAATAAAAGTAGAAGATGAATAATTCATGAAATGGTGGGATATCTTCTCAACACCTTATAATTTATGCATCATAATCCCTTCAAAATGAAAAATCATTTTCAGACCCAAAAAAAAAAAAAACTAACACTTCAAGGAAGCAAAATGGAGCTTCCATTTACTATTTTACTCTAACAAACGATACAACACATCTCCAAGTCAGCAGCAAAATGCAGGGACAACCAAAAAAACCTCCAACAATTTGAACTCACTCATGTCTTCAGATAATGGTCAGTGTCTTCTTTACTGCATAACTTTAGACTTATCTGGTTTTTCCTCAAAAATTTGATTATGAATAACACCATGCAAACGCCTAAAAAGCTGCTTCTTTAATGATTCAAAAGCCATGTCCAACATTTTTAGCTGTTCCATTGCATTCATATTGTACAGGAACAACCCATAGTAGAGACCAAAGCTATCTCCTGCCGTAGTCTCCACCAAACTCAACAAAGTCTTGTAACCATTTGTGTCGACTGCTGTCGATTTCAAACCCAACTTTCCCAGAACCCTTCCCACAGTGTGTGTAATGAATTGTGACGCTGCTGCATGCGTATCATGTTCTATGCAAGACATTTCAACCATTTTGCACCCTTCCCGTGCAAATATGTCCAGAAATTTGTTGCACCGTGATACTCTTGATTCGTCACCTCCAACCCTGACCTTGTCGTAAACAAAAGGAAGACCATTCCACCCATTTTTACCACTCTCTGGTCCAAACATAGGATGTGTACAGAGTATATCACAATCCAGCGGCAAATTTTGAAGTAACAGATTTTTTGGAAATTCTTTTACCGAAAGAACATCAACAAACAAAGTATTCTTCTTCAACCTTTGTAATGGCAATGACCTAAGGACTTTCTCAGTTGAAAGAATGGAAGTACAAATCAGTACTACTTCTGGAAGCTTTTCGAAAAGATCCTCTGCATTGGAGAAGTAAGAAACCCCTAATTTTTGAGCCACATCGGTGCAATCCGATCGAGAGTAGGCTAGAACTAAATGGCCTTGACGTACCATTGTTTTAGCGAGGAACTGACCAAAGTTTCCAAAACCAACAATTGCAATCTTGAGCGTTGAGTTGTTGTCAACAAAACGATCTGAAATCTGTGCTTTGTGGTCCTGTGGCTGAGCAGCATTCTGCCATCTGAAAAATATAAGTAAAATTATTTGTTAACAAATCACTGACATTAGCTACAAAAGTTTTAAAGTAGGTGTAGCAACATGGATCTTCTTTTATAGTAAGAAAATTATTATAAGATCTCTAATCCTTTAACAAATTTCTAATTATAAGATACTGTTGTTTTGGATCTGATATTTATTTTGGTTTTGTTTATTACAAGAGGTCATTGGAACTTTACCTCATAGCTTTTGATGTTGAAGAAGATACCAATGCAGTTCCTTGTTGATCTTCCTGCAAAGGTGCTGCTACTTTATCTGCATTGCCATTGCCAAACAATTGGTTTCCCACAAACTGGTGCAAATACCCAAAAAGCTGATTCTTCAGGGCATCAAAAGCCAAGCCCAACCTCTCCAATATCTCCAAAGCATTTTCGTTGTGCATAAACAACTCATAATACAAATCAAAGCTATCCCCAGAAGATGTATTCTCCACCAAACCCAACAATGCCTCATACCCTTTTGTGTTTATCGGCGTAGACTCCAATTTCAACGCCCCCAACACCCTCCCAACTGTGAGAGTGATAAACTGAGAAGCCGCAGCGTAATTGTGGTGCTCAGCACAGCTCATCTCCATCATTCTAATTCTAAACTCCTGTTTCTCAAAAATGCTTAAGATCTCGTGGCACTATGAAATCCCCAAAGTGAATAGCGGCGATTTTGATTTTGAGGGCTTTGGGCTTGAGAAATAGTTGAGTCTTTCGGAGTTGCCAGAGTAGGAGAGAGGGTGTTTCAATTTTTTTAAGTCCCAGCCGCCAACTTATGCAGTACGGACATTCAATCAGGCTGAAGCCTCGCAGTGTTTGACACGCGGACACGTGGACACACCCTAAACCCTACACGCCACTTGGATATGGTCAATGATCAAGACACTTTGGGCTCGTTTGGTACACCGTATTAGACTTCGGATATGAGTAAATAGTCCATGTCAGGTGTTTGGTGTCAACTTGTATTATTTAATTACCTGACTATTTTATACGGGTTGGGCTTTTAATACTCTCCTTACCTGACTAACTAATACAACCCACACACTCCGGTTTAGATAATACACGCTTAATTATACGGCTAGAGAAAAAGAACACGCGTTCTACGAGAAAAATCAGACGCTGTTAAGACACTTTTGGACACGGTCAACAGAATTCAACACACTACAAGGACCATTTTGGAAATTTTAAAACAAAAACTGGGGTCACAACATAGTTATTGAAACAGTTGTGAGCAAATTTGAAATAGTTTCAAAAAGTGGGCTTTTCTTCTCTCCCAGCTAGCTGCATCTTTCATGAAAAAACCTAGCTTTTCTTCTCTCCCTCTCCACATATTCTTTCTTCTCATCTTATTTTAAATTAGGCTTTTTATCACAAATGGTCCTTGACGTTTATGAAATTATCACGAATGGTCCTTAAGGTTTTTTGTGACACTAATAGTCCTTAACGTTTGGACTTTTTATCACAAATGGTCCCTGCCGTAAAAAATTCTGTTAAGTGTATGATGTGGAAGATAAGTGGAGCCCACATGTCCAATCACATCGTGACATGTGGATTAAATAAATAAATAAATATTTTTTTTTATAAAAATCCATTAAAAAACCATTTAGCCTCTCTCTCTCTCTCTCTCTCTCTCTCCCTCTTTTACCTCCATTAAAAAAAAATAGGTAAAAAACGTACAGAAGTTTCACATATGTGGACCTCTTTTATATGTGGAAGCAGAGAGATTCTTCCTTTTAAAGCTTATAACATATTTTGTGTGGAAACACAAGCACCACCTTCCTTCTCTCCCTCTCGCTCTTTTACCTCTCAATCTATCTCTGTAACTCTGTTTCCGATTAACAAAAGATGTCCAATAACGAAGAGCCTGTGGAGGAAACAAATGGGGATTCATTTCACATAGTGAAGCAGGGTTTGAAAGATCGATCTAAGGTATGGCAAAATTTGAATGGTTTTTTAATGGATTTTCATCAAAAAAATATTTATTTATTTATTTAATCCACATGTCACGATGTGATTGGACATGTGGGCTCCACTTATCTTCCACATCATACACTTAACAGAATTTTTGACGGCAGGGACCATTTGTGATAAAAAGTCCAAACGTTAAGGACTATTAGTGTCACAAAAAATCCTCAAGGACCATTCGTGATAATTTCGTAAATGTCAAGGACCATTTGTGATAAAAAGCCTTTAAATTATTTGAAGTCGAAGCATCAATAAATGCTTACGAACTACTCTAGGTGAGGCGAGGGTCTTAATTTAAAAAAAAAAATCAGTTTTATCATATTTCTAGCTTCAATTTTTTGTTTAAATATTTTTTTTGTAGCAGAGCTGATATTTTTGTGTTTACCCGTTTTGATGTAGTTCTTGTGATGGTAAGGTAAAGTTCTCCATTGACCCGAAAACCATTGATGGTCAACAAGTCAACTTTCTTTTTGTGTGCAAGCATGCCACTGTTAACGATTAAAAATCTTAAAAGACAATGAAATGTAATAACTTGCGCCCCAAGCTATTGGCTTTGATAAAGTGATTGTGAATTTGGGTGAGGAATATCTCCCAAGTAAGTTCTTTTCTCATCTCAGACAGGTGAGGGCTTTACAATTTCCCAAAGTAAAACTAGTAAGTCTAGCCAAAAATGAATGTTGAAAATAAATTAAAACTAGTTCAAAGAGAACTGTTTATTACACAATTTAGACAAAAGAGAAATGCCAAATCCGGAAGAACATCAAAACATTGGGCTTCGATTTCTACTTGGATTGTTGTTTGTGACTCAGGCTGGACTGGATATATCTATGCTGGAATTGCACGTCAGCACCTTCAACTAATAGGGATTAGCTGGAAATCAATACCAATGTTGAGATTGGCAGAGCTTTAATCAAATTTAGCCATGGAGAGGCTTATCGAGTGGACAGAACTGAGATCTCTTTAGTCTGGACTGGATTGGAAGTGGCTAGATTGGCGATTGATGGCCTGGAACTACGCTTCATTACCTGTTTTTGCTTGACTGTGAATCACCCAAGGGTTATTCTGGTGATTCTAATACATCAAGATACCTCTGGAAATTTGTTGAGGTTTTCATATTATGAAAAACCTGAACTCCACTTGATTCACCTGTTCTGAACTAAATTTGTAATGAGAGAAAAATCTTGTTTCCTTTGTGAACTACTTCTTTGAGCTGAACTGAAGTCAGAAGACTGAGTTCTGCCTGTTTTGTCATAAGCTAGATGGCTTTTACAAACCAGAGAGCTTGATTGCTTCAGAGTCTAAAAACTTTTGAGATCGTGTGATCTTCCTTAATTTTGTCAGTATGACTGAGAGTTTTTTGTTTTGATTGGATTTTTTTGTTGTTGTCCTTGATCCAGTTCACATCCTTCTATATTTATATGAAATCTGCATGGGTGATTATTCCTTAATATCTGGAGGACACTCGCTAAGAGGTTTCTTTGCTCCAACGAAAAAGGGTAGTAGTTATTCTGACAAGAAAAGTCCCCATCAAGAGTGACCTTCTGACAACCAACTCACTTATTTCTTGTTCGTCTCTTGTAAATCAAGTTTGTGTTGATGAGACCCTCACGAGTATGGGAAGGAAACTTGGCACTCTTTTTCTGGCATTTAATGGTTATGGGAAGTGGTTTTTGATTTCACCTTTCTACCAACTCCCTTGCATATCCTCTGCCCTTTTTTCCTGTTGACGTTTTGTCATTGGGATGACGTGGGTATTGTGGAGAGAAAAATCCTCCCCTTTATCTGCTGATCTGATCTTTGAATTAATCAACTGTGATTGATCAAACCTTGAGCCCTTGGAAAAAACTAGAAGCTGGGTATAATTTAAACCACTTAAATTTGGCTTTTTCAGATTAAATCACCATTAATGGTAATTAACCTGTGAAAAATTATTTTGTAATTAGTTTGAAATGGTCTGGGCTTCTAAAACATCTTGGGCTAACTTTCAATTTTGGTAAAACAAAGTCCAAACCCATGTCCATGATATGGCCCAGTACCCAGATGGGCTGGGGCGTGAAAATTAGGCCCAAACATTTTGGTTAACTAAAGATATTGATAACAATTTGGTCGTGCGAGAAGCATCTGTTTGAGTGGGTAATTCATTCACTTTGTTTCTTTCTTTTCTTTTTTTATGCTAAGCCAATTCTTATTTCATGAGGTGAGAAATCGTTTTATGTGTTAATAAATATGTATATAGTGCTTTATTGTGATGAGCAATGCTAATTCAAATGAGGCCTCCTCTCATGCTCAATCATATTTTGTGGTGCATTAATTATTATGTATAAATTATGAATATAAGTACTTTGTTTTGTTTTATTGTATTATGACATTGAAGTATTGAGTATGAATTATTTTTAATATAAGTATATACTATTATAATTTTATTATGATTTATTATTATTTTAATTATCGTGTCCGAGCCGTGTCTGTGTTCTAGTTTTTTGAGACTTTCCGTGTTGTTATGTTGCCGTGTCACGTTTTCGTGTCCCCGTATTCATGCCCATGCAACATAGCTGCCAACTCTCATTCTCATTAGCTTGTATAATTATCTGATATTATTTGTAGGGGCATTCTCCAATAAGTATTTAAGTTAAGGATTGGTAACATTCTTCTAATCTTGACCGTTAGATTGCATCTAAGAGACTACCAACACATTTAATGAATGCAATCCAACACCCAAGAATAGAAGTGTGTAACCAATCTTTAACATAAAATACTTATTGAAGAATCTCTCATTATTTGTATATTAGGAAAGATGGTTTGCCAACACGTCTAGCATAGTGAAAAACAGTATGTACTTGCAGACTAGTGGTCTCAGATTCGAACCCTCATAACACTTTGATACGTCTAAAAAAAATCTACCTCCACCTTCCTAACTTCGGGCCAAAAAAGAAAAAGAAAAATTGGGAGAGCTTTTGGTCTTAGAAATGCAAAATCATAATACTTACCAACCATTCTCTCAACGATGTCCTATGTACTTACCAAACAAATTTGACAAAATTATGATTTTGAACACTTTTTTTTAAAGACATTTCTTATTGAGAGGGGGCATAACATACTAAACTCACACACACTACACAAATGCTAGAACTCGAACCCAGAACCCAGCACCTTTCCTGGGGAAGCAATAGCTCCAAACAACTATACTAGTGGGTGCTTTGCTGATTTTAAACACTAAGGTAATTACATCTACTTTATTAATTATTACAATTTAATGACAATAGTTTTTGTTGTTGCCAATGTTAGGAAGGGGAGAGAGGGTGGGGGAAAACTAACACACATCAGTACCATGAGGACTTGAACTCAGAACCACTTGGGAGCACACCAAAGGCTTGTGCTAATCCAACTGACACCCCCATTGGTTTTAATCACAGTAGTTTAATTTCATGCATGGAAGTTTGATTCCAAGTTTGCAACTTTTTGAACCCCATTGACTAAAGGGGAAACCTACTAGCTGCGTGATAAATTCGACAGAATCCAAAATACTTCATATGACAGAGTCATGATAGTTTGGTTTGATTGACGTAGGTGGAACAGCATAAATTGCTTCATCATACTTGATCTGATGAAAAATATAAAGAACGAACACATTTATTATTAAATGATTTTGGAGTTGATGCCATCTATAATTTATAAAATTAAATGACATACAGGATTACTTATTACACAACTAATTCTAATAGTTCCGCACACGAAATGTGTTTTCTTCAATTAAAAATCAGGTATGAGGGAGGGATAAACTGAGACTTGTGCTAGTGCCGAACTGAAGACCACGAATTTGCATCAATCCAGTTAAAAGC